GCGTTGACACATGTGACACCCTACACTACTGTACTAAGTGTTCATGATTTTGGGAAAAATTTCACACTGAGATGGCCGAAAAATTTTCTTTTGATTTAAGACAAATAAAAAAAAATAGTTTTTTTGTTGATGTGACATGTGACATGAACACTTGGTCGAAATAGTACAGTACGCCGCCCCAGGCCAAGCGCCTCTTGCTTCTCTGAATCAGTTACACCACTTGGTTGGATGCCACTTTGGATTCTTACTTGGCCTGCATATAAAAGAGTTGCTTTTGGATTCATCACATTCACAGTACTGTACTAATACGACCATGTCTTCATGTCACACATCACAGAGGCTTCTGAATGAAGGGAAGTGAGGGTGATGTCACGCATCACCGGCCTTTGAAGGCATTTCCTCTTATTTGAAAATAACAGTTTTTTTTTTGGTGCCTGTAGTGCCCCTAGCAATATAAACACTACTGTATGCCTTAGCTATTTCCAACAGATTACAGTTGATTTTGAACTTCAAATTGACAATGGGCCTCTGTTTGGGACAGCCGATGGACATGGATGAAGAGATCACACTCTTCATCATGCATCACATCAGCTATTGAAGTGAGGAAGAGATGGTGAAAAGGTGTCATGCCCTAAAGGGCTTGAAGACTTGGTCGTATTAGTACAGTACTGTAGCATTTCATTCAATTCAACAGGGCCCGTGACATGTGACAGGCCTGTCAAAATTTTGGTTTTGACAACCACACAAATTCACCATGACAAGCCGAAAATTTGGGCAAATTTTCGACCACTTAGCACAGCAGGCCACGAAAAATTTCAACATTTATCACATGAGCGCCAGATGATTTCGACACCTTACAAAAATCTGTGTGAATACCATGACATTTCAGCAATTTGAAGGGCACCGTGACACATGACCATCAAATTGAATGAAATGCTACAGTAATGATGTATACATTGTACCTACTTACCCACATCTGTCTTTGAACACCTACTTTAGAGCTGCTTTGTTTCAATATCATGCTAGTGCAGGCTCGTTATATGCATCTTCAGTGACTTAGCTTAGGCTTAGTTTACAGGCAACCGCCTGTGTAGTTTAAGTACTTGTCACTAATGTAAGTACATAAATCTTTTGAATTTAAAAAAAAAAGAACATAAGTATGGGAAAAACATACTCTATTAGGAAGGTAGGTGATGGGGGGTGTCAAGCGGAACTCCAAAAAAAAAAGACAAGTATTGGTCTCTTTTCCACATTCCGCCACCCCTTGCACTATGCCTTTTTTTTATACAATACATCAGCAATATAATATATGAGTGATATATGAGCTGAGTAATCAGGTCCACACCAGGGTTCTTCCCGATCTGTACCTTAGCATCAAGTTCTGTCCATACACGTTATCCCCCCTTTCTGACTTGACCATATTTATCATATGTTTCACATTCCTTCCAGGAGTCCTCTTTCTGCATATAGCCATGCATCACCACCACCACCTTTCAATTTTCCACCAACTCATGGTGATGAGGTAGAGATTGTGGATTCTCCTTCACCATCCGTAAGTGAGCTGGAAGTTCAAATTTTTGATGTGTTGCTTTCTTCTCTCCAGCTGCTTTAGCACTAAAAGACTTCCAGGCCACCCAATTGCAACAATTCACACACCCCACACTCTCTATTCCAGTCTTTCTTGTCCCTCAACACCTATCAGCACACCTGTCATTCCTTTGAAACACCTGTCATTCCTTCACACACTCATACTTGTGGGTGTGGGCCAGTGATTCACATGGCATGTATGAGTCCTTCCCATGGACCTCCAATGCTGAAAAATATGTAGACTAAATTTTTTTTTAAAAAGGCATATTTTAACATTTTCATTAACAATGGATGCAAGCCACATTAACTTGAACCAAATTTTTTAGGAGATTGTAAATAATGTTACAGTAACAATGTCTAAAAAATTATAAAATTATTTGATATTTATTTACAATTCTTTATAATCATTTGCTTCAAATTAATGTGGCTTTCATTCAATGTTATAAAGATATTAATCTAGGATTCTATTTTAATGTTACGAGTCCTCTGAGTTTACGAAGAGACTCGTTTATTACCCAGGATCTCAGGACTTTTTTCAGCGCGGTAACACTGAAATTTGACTTTCTCCCACGAAAGTGATTTCTTCCCACGATCAGCTGCCTGCTCAACATTGATGACTTTGCCAGTCTGCTCTACTATTTCTTAGTTATCACCTGCTTTTAGTCCTATCCATGTTGTCATTGATGTAGGTGGTAGCTAATGTATTGCTCTACTTGGCTGTCAGACTCTAATATATGAATATATTGCCTCCATTTTCACATTTATGTAACTATACTTCTTTACATTAAAGATATAACAATTAAGGTCATGACAACTTTTGTGGCATATTTTTACAGAGTGTGTGGGTATCCTAATGAGCCCAAGGCTATGCAAAATGAGCCATGAGAAGGTCCTGGGCAGTTGGTGGGTATGAGCGCAAAAAGACAAAAATAGAACATAACATACATCCAAGAGTGCTCAACTAGTTCATAGGCAGTTTTGGGGAGTCTCTTCAGGGGGTGTGGGGGTATCCAAACGAGCCCTTGACCACAGAAAACGAAGCAGATTGAGGTCCTGGGGAGTTGTGAGCATAAGGGCAAAAGAACGAAAATGCAAACTCACCTAGCTCCATGAGACCTTGACCGTTTCGTAAATGGTTTTGGGGAGCGTCTTCACAGAGCGG